TTTTTCGTTAGTGTCCGCTAAAGGTTAACCCTAAAAAAATGTATATCCCTTATGCGGACACCCCAATTTTTCCTCTAAGATGGCTTAAATAACCTTAACTATGATATTTATAGCTTTCTATATATAAATATAAGCTATTTATAGTTAACCCAGTTAACTAAGCTGTGATTGGTTCAATTTATTCCTCTAATCCGGGGACTAGTGCTCTTCATCCGGGTGAGGTTCCCTACATAAAACGTCATACGTCGCAACTTAGAAAAATTCCAATTAATCTTCCTATTGAGCGAAATAGAAGAAATTGACCCAGATGTGTTTAAAAATGGACATGAGATGTGTTTAAAAATGGACATGCGTTGTGTTGTTTGCGGTAGTTTCGTATAAAACATTCATACAATTATTATTTAAGCGAAAAACAGCAAGGTGTCCACACAGGGGAAACTGTCCGCATACGGCACTTTACTCTAGATCTAGATTCATAGATTCTATTTAATGAAAAGTTCTGGGATTAGGACAGGATTTGAGGATTAGGCTAGGCCTACTAAAAATTAATGAAGTGACTGCGCGTCTCGCAAAGCGTGGCCCCTAAGGAATAGACTACATGTCTCGCAGGTTGGATTTGCCATCTTGTAATTGAAAATGCTTACTTTTTACTATTCCGTCACATGCTGTGTGGTTGAGTCAACAGTGTGCCAGCTGTAGACTGTAGTTCATAGACCCGGGTTAGCACGACTGGTAGTTTTTTTGTGTTATTTTTTACATTTTTTTTTTTTTCATGTTGAAAATATGACGTATGATTCTTTTTTTTTAATAAAATTTCCAAACAACGTCACTGGCGTGATTGATTGCTTGCATTACGTTTACTATATCGTGAGTGGAAAATCCCACCACGGCCCACGGTCGGCTAGTTCACTGAGTTCAGTAGGCCTAAAGCATACGTCATAGAATTAACACAAGTTCACGTGATCATCTGTCGGGCAGTCCTGATATCTGTTTTTTTTTAGATCGCGTGACACCTAAGGTAAAGATTAAGCGTAACGCGGAGCGAACAGCGCAAAGATGGCCTTACGCGTAACGCTGAGCGAACCGCGCAAATGCGGCCAAAAATTAAATTGATCGAACAAGTAAAAAGTATCAATCCATTTATGATTTATCAATTGTAAACTTATAAATTATAAAGTAAACTAGATTTAGAATCTAAAAAAATAAAATATCCAAGTCAAGGTAATATCACGATAAAGCGTCAGAAATTATCCGGTAATGTTTATTTTAATTAACATTCTGCCACTTGCTAAGTTGCTTTGCTATATCTAGATTAGATCTAGTACTTGGCATGTGACCTGCACACAAATCTACTTTTGTTTTATTTTAAATTATAATAAAATATATAGCAAAATCGGGATTTTTGCAAATCTCATTGTTTTACACCTCCCTGAGTCTGAAAAACATAGTTTTGCAATCTTGTCCATATGTCTGTGTTTGTGTATGTGTGTCTGTAAACATGATAACTTGAGTACCATTACAGCTAGGTTGATGAAACTTCATATATGAGTATTATATCAAATTTGTAGTTCTGTATCAACTTTTCAGCGATTTCCGGTGACCGTAAGTGGAACTTATACTGCTTTTAGTTTTTCAAAAGCCTATAACTTGAGTACTGTTTCAGATAGATAAATGAAATTTCACATTTAAGTAAACGATCTTCTGTCATATTTTGAGTAACTTCCATTGAACGGAAGTAGTAATTTACGCTATTTCCAATTTCTCAAAAAAAAAAACGAATGTGAATTTATAAAGTACTAATATTCCGCACTATTATACACAGATTGTTTGGCGTTCACTTGGTGCACAATTATTTTTTCTACGAGATTCTATTTTAAAAAGTTTAAGTAATTTAAAATGGATTAAAAATCATGTCTATACCCCGAGGTCCATCCCCCGTTGTGTTATATATGAATATTCGAGAAAGGGGAGATTACTCCGGGTTTTATTATGTTTTATGATTTGTACACAATCAGCATGTTATGCTTTTTAACTTGATAAAGGTAAAGTATACCAAGTTACAAAAACTACAATCTAACAATGAGTAGGCCTACTTTCAGTTAAAAAAATAAAACTAACAATCATCAATGAAGAAAGCGTACCTAATGCATTCTAATTTTAGGTATGACATAAAAAAGTCATAACTCTAGCCAAATGATTGGATTTTTGTGCTGCACAAATTTCTCATAAATCCGGAAAACTATTACCAGATAATTATGTGTGTAAAATGAAGGCTTTCAATCATGATTGACATAATTGAAGCAGTATTTAAGAGTTATTTGATTTGAAAGACAAGAATGCATAGAGCTAAAGCACTGCTTTAAAGACAAAGTACTGAGGTCAAAAGTACACAGGCAATCCTACATAAATAAAATTGACAATGGTAAATAGTAGGAAATTTTAATTAATAAAAAAATTAATTATGCATCCAATTAAGTCAAATTTGATGTCAGATTGCTTCAAGTTTGAAACAAATTGGTCAGTTAGAAGTGCTCAAAATTTTGCTAGGCAGTTTCACAGAAAGACAGAAAGATTGGGGAAGTGTGTTAAATAAAAGCTTGTAAAAATTACTAAAACGAGCAGAAAATTAGTACTTTTTAAAGGAAACATTATTGAATTTTAGGTAAGTTAATGAAACATCCAATTAAGTCACATTTTGTGTCAATTGCATTGTGATAGAGACCTGATGTGAAATGTTTTAAAGAAATCGACACTGTAGAAGTGGTCAAAATTTTGCTTGCAAGTTTCCATCCATCACAATTAACAGGGGAATCAGGTTAACTAAAACCTTGTATTTATTAAATTCTGAATGTTTTTGAGAAATCTGAGATTGAATACTAAGTAAAGAAACTTTTCTAGATATCTGAGTTCACTCATAAATGATAAATTAAATGTATATTAAATGTAAGATCTTATACTAATTTATAAAATTTGTCAGAAATTAATAGAAAACTACTAAAAATTACTTGTATAAAAAATTTCTTAAACCAAACTGAAATGGTTGTCAAGTTTACATACACACAGACAGAAGGATAAGATTGGTCAACCAAATACCTAGGAGTCACTTTTGACACTCTTCTTACCTGGAGGAGACAAATAGAAAACACACAAACTAAGGGGATCAAATGACTAAATCTAATGAGGAAACTGGCAGGAACAGACTGGGGAGCAAATCACCCCATCCTGAAAAAAACCTACACCAGCTATGTGAGACCTACGTTAGAATATGGTGCTTCGGCCTGGGGCTCAGCAGCTAAAACAAATATTAGCAAAATTGACAAGGTTGAGAACATTGGTTTGAGAATAATGACAGGAGCTATGAAAACAACGCCTATAAAAGCAATGGAAGAAATAGCCGCTCTTAGTTCAATAGAAGAAAGAAGAGAATCAGGCACTGGATAACCGTAATCTAAAACATAAACTTCAGAAGCCCAGCCCATCAAACAGACTTTAAAGAACAAGTTTTATTAAAGAAGCAAAAAATCTAAAAAAGAAATATGAAATAGAAAACATCATTCCAGAAAAAATCAAAACTCGAAACCTCTCCCAGCCGTGGATCTCTCACCATACTTTAACCACCAGTGACTCAATAGATACTATAGAAAAAAAATCTGACTACGATCAAGAAGAACTAAAGAAAATTACATATAAGCACATTAAGGATCAGTACCCCAGCAATACCTGGATTAGAGTATTTACAGATGGCTCAGCTGAAGATGCCACAAAAAAATGGCGGGGCTGAAGTCCTTATTGAATGGCCAAATGGAGAAAGCTTAGAAAAGTCAATAGCCACAGGCAGCCTAGCCGACGATTTTAGAGTAGAGAAAGAAGCTTTAGAGCATGCAGAAACCCTCCTGTCAGAACACCCTGAATCTCCAAATCGTCAGATAGTATTTCTTACAGATGCTAAATCTGTCCTGCAGTCCCTAAAAAATCCACTTTCCTATATTAAATCACTCAGGACAGCCCTTAAAAGGCTACAAAATACCTGCAGCATGATTGTGCTGCAGTGGATCCCTGGCCACTGCCAGATACAGGGTAATGAGATCGCGGACCAGCTGGCAAAAATTGGGGGAAAGAAAAAACCAGAAATCTCGCTACATCTAAAAGAAATCAAAAGAATCATAAAAAACAAACAAACACAAATGTGGTCTGACACACACCCTCACTACAAAAAAGACAATGGATATTACTATTTGACACGAAACAAACAATGCATAATCTTTAGACTCAGAACAGGCTACAACAGACTAAAACAGCACATGCATAAAAAACTAAAAATTGGGTGTGGCGAAATATGCCCTTGTGGCAAGGCCCCGGAAAATACGGAGCACGTCCTTCAAGAATGTTCATTATATAGCCAGGGGCGATCCAAACACTGGCACCCGCTGATCTGGAGACCACAGTCCAGTTCATCCACGAAGTTGGGCTTGTTTAAATCCTCCATCATATACTTAATTAATAATTAAGAACGAAGAAAAAAGGAAGGTCAACTAAGTTTTTCTGCAGGATTACAATAGTTCCTCTATACTTTGTTTATTAGAAAATAAAAATACAATTTAATTTGAAAATTTTATCTGTTAAGATTAGAGTACTACAAATTAACAGAAAGTGGGGTTTTTAGAAGATGCATCACAGAGTTCCTGTAATAAAATAGAAATGTAGCCTTAACTGCAAAAAATAGTCCAGTGGTGGAACGTTTGTCTTACCCAAATTTATAAATTTGTTACCTAGTCTCAAGTCTCTAAGCCTGTCTTTCCCACCAAAATGTTAACCCCATCCCACCCATATCCATACTTGGTTGTGTGAAGGACTAATGGGGAAAAAAGTAATACTAACTGGACAAGCTGTGGACAACAGGAGAGATATACTTGATTCTTATCTTGTTTAAAACTGATTTATGCAATTAGTTTGTGAGACTAGGATTATTTTACTGATTCAGTGTAATATTATTTTCTCAGTTGATAGGACGAGTCTTGGGTACAAGATCAGAAGATGGTGCTATTATAAATCTTATTTTCCAGAGCTAGGTAAGTTTGCTAATTTTAATATTAGAATTTTCATTAGCTGTATTTTAAAAAATGGTTTCACTTCTAAGCATGCCACTAGTGCTTCTCTACACACATTTTAAAAAATCATCATCACAAAACAGAAATAATTAACAATGTGTGACCAGATCTCATTGTGTTCTTAATAAAACTGAATATGGTTATATAGGCCTACATATTTTAAAGAAATAGTTACTTCTGGTAAATTGTATTAGAATTTAGATGCTGTAAAACAGTTTTAACACTTTAAGGTACAATGTTAACATTTTTATTTCATTACAGGGCTCCGCAAAGATGACATTATTGTTGAAAGTCCAGAAACTGGTCACATCATAAAAGAGGCACTGAGGAGAATACCAAAAGAAGAATTTGATGCCCGTAACTTTCGTATCTTGAGAGCCAGCCAGCTGTCAATGACAAAAACAACTTTACCCCGTAATCAGTGGACAGTTTATGAAGAGGTTTGTTTTGTTGCATTTTCCTTGCTGAAGTTCCAAGTTTTACTGCTCTGTTTAGTGTTTATTGACTTCATTTTAGCCAGCTTCAATTGTATTATTATAGATGATTTTTATGCATAGCCTATTGTAAATTATATAGTTTCAAGTAAGTATTATTTAGTAAAATTAAGCAGTGATAATTCTGCAATCCCAAAAACTCAGCCTACACATGGTTTGTGTCAGTATACTTTGGGTTAGCTGAAAATTGTAGTAAAAAGACATTTTAACAAAAATTCTTGTTTTATTTTTCCAATTTTCTTTCTAGGATGAACCTTACCTCCAGCCACATATAGATGAAGTTTTGCGAGAGATGAAGGAGAGAAAACATTGGGATTCTGTTTAATAGTTTTGTTTACAAATGCTCTAATTGCATGCTACATTATTTAGAATAATTCAATAAAAACTGTTTTTATAAAAGAGATGTAGTATTGTATTCAAATGTTTACAGTGAATGTCACTAAAGCAATGCAAAGTATGGAATGATGCTTAATTTGATTAAAGATGCTCATTAAAGACATTTTACTTGTTTTAGTAATGTTAGATTATGCAAAGTATATAGTATGATTTTAATTGCCGATAGTGAACAAGCTATAACGTCCAAAATTCATTGCACTGATAAAAACAATATTGTTTCTATAATCAAGGTAAAAAATGAGTATAATCAGAGTAATACCATTTTAGTATTTCAAATTTGAACCATTTTGCTGCTCAATAGGAATGACTTTCTTGTTAATGCAATTCTTGTACATCAAGAGAGGTTTGATATTTTAAATAATAATCACCAAAGCCTACAACAAATAAGTAGATGTGTGATTTGATTACCTAAAGTAAGATTTTCAAGATTTATGCTTTTTAGTAAGCTGTTACTGTTACATTTTCAGAATATAAAAGGCTTTGTTCATCAATATCAATTTAGTATTTTTACATTTCAAAGTTAACTTTTATATTATTCTTTAATTTGTTTTGATTTTCATTACTAAATTTGTAATAATTTTTAAATGAAAGACAGTCACACATCTTCACCCCCCCCCCCCCCCACACACACACACAAAATAGCAGTTGAATTTATCTTTAAACGGATATTTTTTTCCAAAATCTTGTCTGAACTCTGTCAACATAGAGTATTTTATTTAAATCAATTCCTATTACAATTTATTAAAACAGTTTTCTAAAACGCGAAATAATGACTTAAGTTTAAACTCGTTAAACTTACATACATTGTTTTTTTTAATATAAATCTGACCCCCCCCCCCTCATCACACCATCACAACATTACGGACCCCCCCCCCCTCTCCCACCATACACGTGTGACGCCATTTATAAACAACCAAGGGAATGATGAACACATAAGCCAAGAAGAGTTACGGGGAGTGGGAAACATTCTTGAAGTCGGTACTATTAATATAAAAAGAAATCGGTGCTGTAGAAGTGGTCGAAATTTAGCTTGCAGTATATTACAAAAATTGATTTTTGGCAGGATTATGTCTACTACCCCTATATGCTTACTCGGGTGTGGGGGAGGATGCTTTAGATGTCACTCCCTGGACCTAATGGTTTGCTATCAGATGGAAATTGAGGATTATAGCCAACATTAATTTATGTTTTTGGACTAGAAGTACCGTAGTGTTCGATGGTAAGAGCTAAATTTTGTCTCAGACCAAGAGTAAGTCCACCAAAATGAAATGTCTGTAAATTTATTTGTCGTGTTGCTAGCATTGAAGGTACAGAACTTCTAACCTGTGAACAGTTTTTACGACAGAGTTATTTCCCTTGTTATCTAGATAAGAAAAAACGTATGCGCTTGTATTTAGTTTGTTAAAATATTCCGTTCTGAGAAATTTAAAAAAGGATCGTAGAATATTTCTTAAAGAAAAATAATTAAAATGTATTGTTTTTAGGAAGGAGTATTTATTAATTACTTCCTCCCCCCCATTCAAATTAGAAAAGTAGGACTACATCAGTCAGACAATTGAATTAAACTACTGGTAAAAAACTACATAACTTATAACTTTGATCTTTTAAAGAGGAACCTCCTTGACCAAGTTGGTGATTTAGCAATTTCTGTTGCTTTTTCTGTAGGTTTTTTATGATGCAGGGTTGCTTGACCACCGGCTTGGGACTTACTTTAGCCGAGTTATGTAACTTATACATAGTATGGGCCTACTGCTCTTATAAGTTATAAAATCAGTATCTATTTAACAACTTTTTAAAATCAAATTAATACAATTATTTATTAAATATATCGTTGAAACAATTGGTCATTAAATTTATCTTGAGACTTTGTCTTCAAAACATTTTCATTTCCCTTGGCGTTGTGCGGGGCTGTTGAAAAGTCAAACAAGAAACAGAAAGATAGACACTATTAATGGCTTCCCCCCCCCCCCCCCCCCCGAAGAGATGCCTGGAAGAAACACCGCAACTAGGCAACGCAATTGTAAAATTAATATAATGGGAAGTGTTTCTTTCAGACATTTTCTCGGGAGGAGGAGGGGGGGGGCAGATTTTGTTTTGTGATTTATTGTGCTTTACACTTGTGTTATGTCTTGTTGTGCTTTGTTATTTTTTTTATTTTTTTTTCGTTCACATTAGGATCAATTTGTTGTTAGATAGCTTTAGAATAGATTAGTGCTATAGTAAAAAAAAATTAGTCTACTATTGGTCTATTTCTTTAAAAGAAAATTAACATTATGCTCTTTCAACAAGTACGGGGCTAAGTATTCGAGATTCGATATGACCAACATGATTTATCCACGTCTAATTTGAGGCAGTTTTTGAGAAGAATCGCCATTTAAAGAAATATACACTTACTATATAATTCATTTTGCGTTGTTTATTAAAAAGTGTTAAGTTGAACCACCAGTATACAAAATGTTAAGTTTGTGGCCACCGTTAATTTAAACCACATTATTGCATCTTTCGATCACCATGAAACTTTGGGGGGGGGGGGGGGGGTCCCGGACATAAACCCCCTAGACAATAGCCCCCCCCCCCCCCCACCGATTAAGGTGCCCGGGTGAAGCACCATTCGATTACTAAAGCGCCCCGTCATGCCCCTGACACCTGGGCGGTCGCCTATGTGTGTTCTCAGACTATCTCACACGGAGAGCGATTAACGTACACTCAAGGCTTTCATACAGCACGCCCTGGGATGTCTGGGTAATAGTGTGGACAAATCCCCCCCCCCCCCCCCCCAACAACAACTATCAAAGAAATATACCGTCGGCTTTGTTTACATTTAAATAACTCAATTTTAGAAAAAAAAATAAGGTCACGCGTCTAAAAATACATGATTGGTAACACATTGATGAATGTTGCGTCATCATTTCTTCTGAGATCGCAGCGACGCGCTGGACGTGTACGTACGATAGTATTTTAATAAATATTTTTGTCTTGAAACTGATTAAAAGTGATACAGGATCACATTTGGTCCCAAAAAAAGCGAGTCTCAACTACAAGCCCTTGCTCGTCACATTTCGTTACTAAATGCACCGCCCTCCCCCACTCTACTCAACCATACGTCACGACGCCCGCATTAAAATTTGATGGGCAGAAAAATTGAGCGCAGGAAAGAATTTAGTTTCGAGTTATCTTCCCTGATCATATGAATTTTTCACCTGGCGCCTTGCTTGAACAGCTGGTTGCGACTTTTGTTAATTGCTTGTTTTCACTAGCTGTCTTTAATCTCTAGCGAATTATTAGCTGGGTCGAATGTCAAGACAAGATGCCTCTTAGTTTAGTGTAGTGTCAAGACATCATAAAACCACGTGGAGTGTGTGTTGGGGGGGGGGGGGGATAGACTGACAATCACACACAGACAAATATTGCTAGCAGAAAGAAAAAAAAATCAAAATGACCAGTGTAAAATAGGATATTTATATATCTTTTGTCGTGCATTCTCTTGGGTGAGGTGTACGGAACAATGTTTTGAATGTTTCTTCTTGTCGTGGTGAAAAGAATTGTGTTAGCGATTGATTATCTTATTTACACGTCTTGACTCAACAAAAACAACTGCAGCCTACCTTGTAAAAAACTAGTTATTTACTGAGGAACACAAGGCGCCGTTTCTACTCACATATTTCTAGTGGTTAAATAACATGTCGACCAGCTTTAGGTTTTGTTTTATCCTGCAACATTTAGATCTAATAGATAACCCTCCCTCAGGCCCCCATTACCTTTCTACCCCAACCCACTCGTTAACCCCTCCCACCCCCTCTCCACCCCTCCCCACCCCTCTCCACCTTTTTGCGTTTGAAGGATCTTGAGCGTGTTCTCACGTCTTAGATTCACAACTGGCTGCCAACGGTACGTGTGCCATGCTGGAAAGTTTTTATGTAGCTTTCTTCATGTGCGGTTCTATTTTTGAAAACGTGAGAAAAGAGTAGACAAATGCAGGTTTGACATGAAGTCGCATCACAATTGTCATTGTTTGAAACTTTCGCATTTTCTATTCATGGTTATATATATATATATATATATATATATATATATATATATATATATATATATATATATATATATATATATATATATATATATATATATATATATATATATAATCCCTACAATTAACCTCCGCCCTATTACACCCCATGTGAACTACCTTTGCCCCCTGTCAATTAACCTCGTTCTCGTTGAGAAAACCACATTTATTAATTGTATTTTACATGAAATCGGAAAACATAAAACCCCGGCATTTTCAAAATGCCCAGTCTTTTGTTTTTTTCAGTTCCTGACATGGGCTGGCAAATTTCCCTCGAGAACATTTACTAAACGAACTATTCCTAACTCTGTTACTTTCCCTATCCATATGCCTACCCACCCTACCTTACCCTACCCTACCCTTTAAATATATATATATATATATATATATATATATATATATATATATATATATATATATATATATATATATATATATATATATATATATATATATATATATATATATATATATATATATATATATATATATATATATATATATACATATGCATGTAGCGTATGTCTTATAAACATAGTTTCTTCCAGGTATCTCTTCGGGTGGGGGGGGCTTTGCCCCCCCCCCCCCCAATTTTTTTTACCGCCCCCCCCCCCACCGATCGAAATGAAATTTATATAATTTATATAGAAAATATATACTTTTAACAGTGTCCCCCCCCCCCCCCCCGAAGAAAGTCTACCGCCCCCCCCGAAAATTTCAACCGCCCCCCCCCCCCGGAGAAAAAAGTCTGGAAGAAACACTGCTTATAAATAACAAGTCTTGTTTTTTTTTTAGCCTTTTGTCAGTATTGTTTTGACAAAGTTTTTATGTTTAGAAACATTTATGGGAGCCGTCTCGTTCCAGGCCATTTTGATGGGGTACATTGTCTCTTTGAAGTCTATACTAACAGGCCTAAACATATGAACCCATAAAAATTCTATACTTGACCTAAAGTTTTATATTCTTTAACCATCGACCTGATGCTTGATGAAACAACTTTTAGATTGCTCAGTAAACCAGAATGGTTACTTGAATTAGTGTTGCATACCACAAGTAATTCACCGCACGAACTAGAAGCTACCCTATTGGTCTCCCCTCTCTTTTATCTGTTAAGCTAAAAAAAATATTTTGGCTGCTCTTCTGGTAGTTCCAGTCTTTCATGCCAGCTGATCCCGGCTCCCCAACCCGTCCCAACAATGCAGAAATGTATTGTTGCTGTTGCCCCACGAGGCGTGTCCAACGAAACCCCTCCCCCCAAATCTTTCTATCAGTGTTAATCAGGTGAATAGACTGCTAGAGGGGCGTGGCCAGGTGACAAACCAGGTGGGGGAGCCGGGTAAAAGAAAAACTCTAGCACTAATAAACTTGGCGACTCGCTTCCTACCCCACTGTGCGCAATCACCAAACTGGAATCGTAAGTAGCGCACCTATTGTTGTAGTGATTTCCATTCTAGTCGTGGTACCAGCTCAGTGTATTCCGTCCTCTGGCGCCGATAGCATAACCCCAGCACTAGTGGAACCGTTAGAGGATCTCAACTTGGATTTGGTAACTACGATTTTCTTTCTTTGTCATTCTCATTAGTAGGGGGTTGTCCATCATAACCTTTGACCTTATCTTCATATGTTAGGATCCGTTCAAACTTTCCATCCATGCCAAACACGTGTAGTATAGGTTCAAACGTGGCTTTGTTTAAAACACGTGTAGTATAGGTTCAAACGTGGCTTTGTTTAAAACACGTGTAGTATAGGTTCAAACCTGGGTATATGTATTAGCACGTGTTGATAGAGTAGGCTTGAACCTCCCTTTGTTTAAAGCACATGCAGTGTAGACTTGAACCTCCCTTTGTTTAAAACACGTGTAGTATAGGTTCAAACCTGGCTTTGTTTAAAGCACGTGTAGTGTAGGTTTAAACCTCCCCTGTACATAAAGCACGCGTACTGTAGGCTTGTGTTTATTCTTGACTTGATTAGGACTGGTCTGGTCGGTCTTGTAATTCAACGGTTAAACGATTCCCAGCATCCAACTTTTTTTTCTTTGTTTTTTTTTTCCTTTCCGTTTTTTACCTGCCACTCGCTTGGCTGGAACCGTGTGCCCTTTAGTCGTTGCGTCTGTTGGGACGATACCGTTTCTCTCTAGTCGTTGTGTCTGTTGGGACGATACCGTTTCTCTCTAGTCGTTGTGTCTGTTGGGACGATACCGTTTCTCTCTAGTCGTTGTGTCTGTTGGGACGATACCGTTTCTCTCTAGTCGTTGTGTCTGTTGGGACGATACCGTTTCTCTCTAGTCGTTGTGTCTGTTGGGACGATACCGTTTCTCTCTAGTCGTTGTGTCTGTTGGGACGATACCGTTTCTCTCTAGTCGTTGTGTCTGTTGGGACGATACCGTTTCTCTCTAGTCGTTGTGTCTGTTGGGACGATACCGTTTCTCTCTAGTCGTTGTGTCTGTTGGGACGATACCGTTTCTCTCTAGTCGTTGTGTCTGTTGGGACGATACCGTTTCTCTCTAGTCGTTGTGTCTGTTGGGACGATACCGTTTCTCTCTAGTCGTTGTGTCTGTTGGGACGATACCGTTTCTGTCCGTTTGTTCGTACACCGAGTGATGCCGGTACCTTTGTTTTTCTCTAATTAAACGCGTCATTCGCATGTTCTTCAAACCGGTCTCACTCAACTCTACAATAAAAATACTATACCTGTTCTTTGATAACATTGAGGTAGAATTTTAAATTGGTTTTTAGTACCACACTTATATTCAGTAACACGTTACATATTTAGTAACACCTTGCACGTCCAGCAACACCTTACATATTTAGTAACACCTTACATATTCTGTAACACCTCATATATTTAGTAATACCTTACATGTTTAGTAACACTTTACATATTTAGTAACACCCTACATATTAAGTAACACCCTGCATATTAAGTAAAACATTACATATTTAGTAAAACTTTACATATTTAGTAACACCTTACTTATTTAGTAACATCTTACTTATTTAGTAACACCTTACATATTTAGTAACACCTTACACATTTAGTAACATCTTACATATTTAGTAACACCTTACATATTTAGTAACACCTTACATACTTAGTAACACCTTACATATTTAGTAACACCTTACATATTTGGTAACACCTTACATATTTAGTAACACCTTACATATTAAGTAACACCTTACATATTTAGTAACACCTTACTTATTTAGTAACACCTTACATATTTAGTAACAGCTAACATATTTAGTAACTCCCTACATGTTTAGTAACACCTTACATGTTTAGTAACACCTTACATATTTAGTAACACCTTACATATTTAGTAACATCCTACATATTCAGTAAAACCTTACATATTTATAACACCTTACATATTTAGTAACACCCTACATATTTATAACACCTTACATATTTAGTAACACCTTACTTATTTAGTAACACCTTACATATTTAGTAACACCTTACATATTTAGTAACACCTTACATGTTCAGTAACACCTTACATGTTTAGTAACACCTTACATATTTAGTAACATCTTACATATTTAGTAACTCCTTACATGTTCAGTAAGACCTCACATATTTAGTAACACCTCATATATTCAGTAACACATTACATATTAAGTAACAACTTACATATTTAGTAACACCTTACATATTTAGTAACTCCTTACATGTTCAGTAACACCCTAAATATTTAGTAACACCTTACATGTTTAGTAACACCTTACATGTTTAGTAACACCTTACATATTTAGTAACACCATACATATTTAGTAACACCATACATATTTAGTAACACCTTACATGTTTAGTAACACCGTACATATTTAGTAGCACCATACATATTTAGGAGCATTTTACATATTTAGTAACACCTTACATGTTTAGTTACACCTAACATATTTAGTAACACCTTACATGTTCAGTAACACCCTACATATTTAGTAACACCTTACATATTTAGTAACACCTTACGAAAACCAAACCCCGAGACTTCTGCTGATTTGAGGACACCACCCACTTGAGGCTGGGGGGGGGGGGGAACTCGCTGTTGTTGTCTGCTATCAACACTCTGTTGTTTCTTATAAAGTCTGTATTTCATATGCTAATTAGCATGAATTATTGCAATAACTGTACTCACGTTTATCCTATAAAACACAACTTTGTCACTAAACAAGTGCACACCCTCCCTCCACCCCCCTCCCACTTTGGAACAAAATATAAAAAAAAAGAATATAGAAAATAATTTTTATATTGTAACCAGTGTCACTACCCCCTTCCCCCCCCCCCCTTCCCCCCTGGAAATGTAAGTGCGCCACCTGAGAGTTACCTCCCCCCTCCCTTAAAAATACCTGAAAGGAACACTGTTTGCATGCATATCTTACTTTTTATTAGGGAGAGTATCAGACAACCAATCGAGTTAGTTTGTCTTGAAACAGATATCAACTGGAAATAATTGTAAACACAAAGGAAAACTCAATCATATACCCCCTGGTCTTTATGTCTTTACCTATCCCCCCCCCCCCTATCCAGTAAGCGTGCCTGTAGCCGCCACAGGTCAAAACGTGTCTATCAGCAGAACTCTCGGGATATCAGGGCACTAAAGATTGCTTGAGTTAACGTGGCTCTAATCACAAGATCTCGACCACCACAATTCTCTTTACAATTCTTTCCGCCTGAGTTTTTTGTTGGGCAAACATGATTTGATCTTAACGCCTCGACGGTTAACTATTGTCTAATATATCTGTCTGTTGGTCAAGTCCACCGGTTATAAAACAAAGTAATTAGGATTTGGTTAGGTGCTACCATATAACACAAGGTATTTAGGATTTATTTGGTTAGGTGATACCATATAACACTAGTTAGGATTTGGTTAGGTGGTACCATATAACACAAGGTATTTAGGATTTATTTGGTTAGGTGGTATCATATAACACTAGTTAGGATTTATATAGGGTGTACCATATAACACAAGGTAGTTAGGATTTATTTGGTTAGGTGGTACCATATAACACAAGATAGTTAGGCTTTGGTTAGGTGGTACCATATAACACTAGTTAGGATTTGGTAAGGTGGTACCATATAAGACAAGGTATTTAGGATTTATTTGGTTAGGTGGTACCATATAACACAAGGTAGTTAGGATTTGGTTAGGTGGTACCATAGGAAGATAAGGTGACGGTTGGTGGGAGAGGGGTTGGAGGCGTAAAATTTAGGCCCTTCAAAGTTATCACATATTTTGTAGTGTAATATTTCTGACATTTAGTACCAGTTCTTCTCTTTTTCAATTTTACAAGGTGAATGAGGGACATCGGGATCTAGCCAACCCCAATTTAAAAAAAAAAACAACAGATCGTGCGCCCCCTCCCATAACTCAAATGTTAGATTCGTGGGGGCAATGCCTTTTGATATTCTATATTTTTAAAAATTGCAAAATTTACACCATTTTTGATGAATTTGATAGAAACGTAAGACAAACTACGGTTACACGCGTACAAATTATGCGATACTTATTTAAAAACAAAACAAAACAACTCCACTTTTTGTAATACCAACTTTTGTGTCATAGTTTGTGGGGGGAGGGGGGGGGGTCGGTTCCTACAATAGATTATATATGGTAATGTATAGAATGGTTATACAGAGTATGAGGTGGTAAAAATTATCCTATTTTTGTGCTACACAAATGTACAGGATGTTCCAACACATATGGGACATGTAGGATCAAACATATTTCTTTGAAACATTACAACAGCTTCGTTGATTAAGGTTTTCTTAAAAAAAATTGTCCAAAGCTTACAAGAAAAATAATTATTGGACCAAAGTATTCCGTGTTGTTTGTAAACTTGCTGCTACCATTTTAGAAGAGTTGGTATAAAACTCCACTAAAAAAACGGGTTTACAAATGTGTAGAGCAGCGACCCAACTCTGATGTAACCCGGCGTGTTATGGGGGGCTCTGCCTGCAGCATGTACATGGGCCCTCACATCAACAGATCGGCTTTGTTGGCTACTTGCAAGACCCCCTGTATACTCGACTACCCGCATCTTCTAAACGATTCAAGGTGAAATTTACAAACATTTCTCCCAAAGTTTGCCGCCATGTTTTCATCAAGCCATGCCAGTTCTTTTGTCTCGCACGTCAGAACGTAGGTAACAACGAGGCACCGTATCACGTGACCTGTAGAGCCTGAAGGTGAGAACACACCTGGGCCAGGCATTGTGTGCAGCACGGGCGGCGTGTAGCACACACCATAGTGAGTAGCGGCATAGCACCGTCATGTACAGTAGCACGGTGTGTAGTTTCTAGCGTGTAGCACACACCATAGTGAGTAGCGTCATAGCACCGTCATGTACAGTAGCACGGTGTGTAGTTTCTAGCGTGTAGCACACACCATAGTGAGTAGCGTCATAGCACCGTAATGTACAGTAGCACGGTGTGTAGTTTCTAGCGTGTAGCACACACCATAGTGAGTAGCGTCATAGCACCGTCATGTACAGTAGCACGGTGTGTAGTTTCTAGCGTGTAGCACACACCATAGTGAGTAGCGTCATAGCACCGTAATGTACAGTAGCACGGTGTGTAGTTTCTAGCGTGTAGCACACACCATAGTAGCGTCATAGCACCGTGATGTACAGTAGCACGGTGTGTAGTTTCTAGCGTGTAGCACACACCATAGTGAGTAGCGTCATAGCACCGTAATGTACAGTAGCACGGTGTGTAGTTTCTAGCGTGTAGCACACACCATAGTGAGTAGCGTCATAGCACCGTAATGTACAGTAGCACGGTGTGTAGTTTCTAGCGTGTAGCACACACCATAGTGAGTAGCGTCATAACACCGTAATGTACAGTAGCACGGTGTTTCTAGCGTGTAGCACCATGGTGTGTAGTATTTAGTATGTAGCACCAGTTTATAGCACACTATTTTACACCGCATTCTATGTGTTACACCGGCGTGTGTAATACCAACAATATGTAGCACCAACTATATGTAGCACCAACTATATGTAGCACCAACTATATGTAGCACCAACTATATGTAGCACCAACTATATGTAGCACCAACTATAAGTAGCACCAACTTTATGTAGCACCAACTTTATGTAGCACCAACTATATGTAGCACCAACTATATGTAGCACCAACTATAAGTAGCACCAACTTTATGTAGCACCAACTTTATGTAGCACCAACTATATGTAGCACCAACTATATGTAGCACCAACTATATGTAGCACCAACTATATGTAGCACCAACTATATGTAGCACCAACTATATATGTAGCACCAAGGCGTGTAGCTTCAAGGCATGTAGCACCATATGTAGCACCATATGTAGCACCACATGTAGCACCATATGTAGCACCATAGTATGTGGCAATTTCGTGTTCAGGTGGTGGTGGGGGGGGGGGGGGCGATTTCGTGTTTCTCTCTAACACATGCCCAAGTTGCATTTTTAATTTCTTGAATGCATTAGCAGAAACATCAGGAACCAAATCATGCGCTATAAAACTACGCGCATCCACGGCTAATGAAGACAAGGGGTCTTAAAACTGTGTGAGTGTAACAAGGGGTCTTAAAACTGTGTGAGTGTAACAAGGGGTCTTAAAACTGTGTGAGTGTAACAAGGGGTCTTAAAACTGTGTGAGTGTAACAAGGTGTCTTAAAGCTGTGTGAGTGTAACAAGGGGTCTTAAAACTGTGTGAGTGTAACAAGGGGTCTTAAAACTGTGTGAGTGTAACAAGGGGTCTTAAAACTGTGTGAGTGTAACAAGGTGTCTTAAAGCTGTGTGAGTGTAACAAGGGGTCTTAAAACTGTGTGAGTGTAACAAGGGGTCTTAAAACTGTGTGAGTGTAACTATATATAAATGGGGTGGGGGCGGGAGTGCGCCCCAGGTGTCAGAGTGCGTAGCTACGCTACTGTTCTACAAATACTTTTGTTTATTACTTGATATCTGATACAAATACTATTGTTTCCTGCTTGATACTGGATACAAGTCCAGTTTAGTTTTGATCTTTCTTATCTTACTTAAGTTTTATTTCATCTACGAATAAACTCAAAAGGATTTATTTCGCATACTAGTGAGAAAACAACGGGACTATTGATTTTCTAGTATAACTGCACTTGATCATTAGAGTAGCTTCCCTTAGTTCAGCACAGGAAGAGCACGATAGCGGCAGGTGCGACAACTGACCAAGTGATCTATGTTAACTATCCCAATGAAACTTTATCCGACACTAGCGTTTAATGCTAAGGTTGATAAATGAGTTATCAATCACTTGAAGCTAGATATTGAAAGAAGTTGGGAAATCTCGGGTCAATTGGACTGATTATCAGCATGAGTTTGTGCACACTCCACACATTAACCTCAGCAGGTTTTTCTTTTTTTCACTTTATTACCTACTAGAGATAATTCTAAGGTAAGACTCGAGCATATTTCTATGATATTCTACCTGAAAAGGTCAACTTTGTGCCCCCCCCCCCCCCCACCTATAATGTGGAGTGGGGCGAGATTTTCTCCCTTGTGCCACCAGCAGCATGATGGCGGCTACTCCAGTTTAATTTGGGCCGTAGCATTTCGATCTTCTTGATCATTCTACTAGGTTGTTTTAAAAATAAGTGTCGCGTTCGCAACATTTATCTAAACCAACACACAATTATTTACATCGTAATCCAACATGAACATGTTCCCTTTGAATTGACAGTAAAGTGATGTTTTGGTTTTTTTTTCAGAAAGAAAAGAAAAAAAACTTCAGTGAGGATCATCTGGGTAATCTCTTGCTGCCAGTGACACAACAAAGCGACACAACAAACGACATAACAAAGCGCCATAACAAAGCGCCAGTTTGATCAGATCGTGTACACATACACGTGGTGTAAACAGCCCGGGTCACTTGAGCCAGACGACGGACTGACCGTTGGACTTCCCAGCCGTCACCATTGAACATCCGGGTATTTACCTCATCGCCACCCCCTCCCAGTCCAGCTCCTACCCCCAACCTTCTGCCATGTCCGCCCCCTCCGTATTGTCCATCACCGGTCAGAAGGACACGCAGTACACGAAGATCTTCGTTGGGGGACTACCTTACCACACCACAGACCAGAGCTTGAGGGAATACTTTGACAAATTTGGCGAGATCGAAGAAGCAGTTGTTATCACAGACCGACAAACGGGCAAGAGTAGAGGATATGGATTCGTAAGTACAATTTTCTTTGCACATTTAGTATCGCCAGGATTCGTAAGTACAATTTTCTTTGCACATTTGGTATCGCCAGGATTCGTAAGTACAATTTTCTTTGCACATTTAGTATCTCCAGGATTCGTAAGTACAATTTTCTTTGCACATTTAGTATCGCCAGGATTCGTAAGTACAATTTTCTTTGCACATTTAGTATCTCCAGGATTCGTAAGTACAATTTTCTTTGCACATTTGGTATCGCCATGTTTTAACTTAGTCGTTTTCTAACTGTTAAAGAACTAAGTGGTTGAAAGAAATTTGAAGACAACACACGTGTTCATTGTATTCAGAAATCAATAGCCAATATTGATTTTCGATAGCGCTACACATCTAAAGTCTACCTGATCATATTGATGTCAGCTTGGGTGGTCTGTTGACCAATAGCTTTATGTCATTATATCTGTCATCTGTTGACCAATGGCTTTATGTCATCTGTTGACCAATGGCTTTATGTCATCTGTTGACCAATGGCTTTATGTCATCTGTTGACCAATGGCTTTATGTCATCTGTTGACCAATGGCTTTATGTCATCTGTTGACCAATGGCTTTATGTCATCTGTTGACCAATGGCTTTATGTCATCTGTTGACCAATGGCTTTATGTCATCTGTTGACCAATGGCTTTATGTCATCTGTTGACCAATGGCTTTATGTCATCTGTTGACCAATGGCTTTATGTCATTATATCTGTCATCTGTTGACCAATGGCTTTATGTCATCTGTTGACCAATAGCTTTATGTGTTCTGTTGACCAATGGCGTCTTGTCATTATATCTGTCATCTGTTGACCAATGGCTTTATGTCATCTGTTGACCAATGGCTTTATGTCATCTGTTGACCAATGGCTTTATGTCATCTGTTGACCAATAGCTTTATGTCATCTGTTGACCAATGGCTTTATGTCATCTGTTGACCAATAGCTTTATGTCATCTGTTGACCAATGGCTTTATGTCATCTGTTGACCAATAGCTTTATGTCATCTGTTGACCAATGGCGTCTTGTCATTATATCTGTCATCTGTTGACCAATGGCTTTATGTCATCTGTTGACCAATGGCTTTATGTCATCTGTTGACCAATGGCTTTATGTCATCTGTTGACCAATGGCTTTATGTCATCTGATGACCAATGGCTTTATGTCATCTGTTGACCAATGGCTTTATGTCATCTGTTGACCAATGGCTTTATGTCATCTGTTGACCAATGGCTTTATGTCATCTGATGACCAATAGCTTAATGTCATTATATCTGTCATCTGTTGACCAATGGCGTTTTGTCATTAGAAATCAATTAGACATCACTTAGAAATATCTGGCTAAAATAGATGTCTACTACATTAACTGAAAAACCCCCACAACAATTTTGACGTCACTACTGAGTTAGTGATAAAATCAACCCAGTGATCGGATTATGATCAATATGTTGATCGTGGCAGTGACTCCTCCATATTACCTGCTGATTAAGGTGTTCTTAAAAAGTTAACAAATTAAATAAAAACCGTAATTCGATATAAAAACGGCCCAAGTTTTATTGCAGACTATTTGTAAGAGAGCGGAGATTTGCTGTCACCTAACGGCCACCTCTAAGCTGACATGGAATAACGGCGACTTTCTATAGAATAAAAGAAGAAAGGCAAGCCTGCAGTGGTGCCGTGTTACAACCATTCAGCACGGCTGTCAAAGGTTATTTAGCTCTCCTAGCTTTAACACGGCGGCAACACAGACGTTTGGGGTGTCTTACGTGTTTATGTGGCCCAGTCACACATACGGCCCATGTGTTCAGTGGCCCATGTGTTCAGTGGCCCAATCACACATACGGCCCATGTGTTCAGTGGCCCATGTGTTCAGTGGCCCAATCACACATACGGCCCATGTGTTCAGTGGCCCATGTGTTCAGTGGCCCAATCACACAAACGGCCCATGTGTTCAGTGGCCCTTGTGTTAAGTGGCCCATGTGTTCAGTGGCCCTTGTGTTAAGTGGCCCATGTGTTCAGTGGCCCTTGTGTTCAGTGGCCCATGTGTTCAATGGCCCATTTGTTCAGTGGTCCATGTGTTCAGTGGCCCAACCACACATACGGCACATGTGTTCAGTGGCCCAACCACACATACGGCCCATGTGTTCAGTGGCCCAATCACGCATACGGCCCATGTGTTCAGTGGCCCAACCACACATACGGCCCATGTGTTCAGTGGCCCAATCACACATACGGCCCATGTGTTCAGTGGCCCAATCACACATACGGCCCATGTGTTCAGTGGTCCAGCCAGACGAGTGATTGAAATGTTTGCACATTGCTTGCACGCGGTGACGTGCGATAAACCAAGTTTTCACACCTGTAATATGTAGAGCTGAAGCTTGTTAGCCCACAACAACATTTATGATACTAGCTTGTTAGCCCACAACAACAGATATGATACTAGCTTGTTAGCCCACAACAACAGATATGATACTAGCTTGTTAGCCCACAACAACAGATATGATACTAGCTTGTTAGCCCACAACTACAGATATGATACTAGCTTGTTAGCCCACAACAACAGATATAATACTAGCTTGCAGTGTTTCTTCCAGACTTTTTTCTCCGGGGGGGGGGGGGGCACTTGAAATTTTCGGGGGGGGGGGCGGTAGACTTTCTTCGGGGGGGGCGGACACTGTTAAAAGTATATATTTTCTATATAAGTTATATAAATTTCATTTCGTTCGGGGGGGGGGGGGGCGGTAAAATTTTTTCGGGGGGGGGTGCTTTGCCCCTTTGCCCCCCCCCCCCCCCCCCCCGAAGAGATGCCTGGAAGAAACTCTGCTAGCTTGTTAGCCCACAACATTATAATTATACTAGCTATGACTCTATCATACACCAACATGAGATCCATATCATATACCAACATGTGATCCATGACTTTATCAAAGTCAGGCCAGATGGCTGGAAGAAACACTGCATGTTATTAAAGCCTATATCAGGGACAGGTCTAGATGCTTGACTTGATAACTCAAAGCTGCTAGGAAAACCTAGCCGTAGAAAATGTCGGCACGCGAGTTTTCTTATCTTAGTGTAAGGCACATTGTAATCTGGTCAGATTATTCAATCAATCTGTGTATGTTGGCCAGATTAACACACGTTCAATCATCCACGTGTTGATGTGTGATTCATGTGTTATTCATGTGTGATTCATGTGTTGATGTGTGATTCTTGTGTTATTCATGTGTGATTCATGTGTTGATGTGTGATTCTTGTGTTATTCATGTGTGATTCATGTGTTGATGTGTGATTCTTGTGTTATTCATGTGTGATTCATGTGTTGATGTGTGATTCATGTGTGGTTCATGTGTGATTCATGTGTGATTTATGTGTTGAAGTGTGGTTCATGTGTCGATGTGTGGTTGATGTGTGGTTCATGTGTTGATGTGTTTTTCATGTGTGGTTCATGAGTCGACGTGTGATTTATGTGTAGTTCATGTGTTGATGTATGGTTCATGTGTGGTTCATGCGTCGATGTGTGGTTCATGTGTGGTTCATGTGTTGATGTGTGGTTCATGTGTGGTTCATGCGTTGATGTGTGGTGCATGTGTGGTTTTTGTGTTGATAAACACAATATGTACACACTGTGGTGGTAGGTTCATGTTTGATGGGACCCTAGTACACATTGTGGTGGTAGGTTCATGTTTGATGGGACCCTAGTACACACTGTGGTGGTAGGTTCATGTTTGATGGGACCCTAGTACACATTGTGGTGGTAGGTTCATGTTTGATGGGACCCTAGTACACACTGTGGTGGTAGGTTCATGTTTGATGGGACCCTAGTACACACTGTGGTGGTAGGTTCATGTTTGATGGGACCCTAGTACACACTGTGGTGGTAGGTTCATGTTTGATGGGACCCTAGTACACACTGTGGTGGTAGGTTCATGTTTGATGGGACCCTAGTACACATTGTGGTGGTAGGTTCATGTTTGATGGGACCCTAGTACACACTGTGGTGGTAGGTTCATGTTTGATGGGACCCTAGTACACACTGTGGTGGTCGGTTCATGTTTGATGGGACCCTAGTACACACTGTGGTGGTAGGTTCATGTTTGATGGGACCCTAGTACACACTGTGGTGGTAGGTTCATGTTTGATGGGACCCTAGTACACACTGTGGTGGTAGGTTCATGTTTGATGGGACCCTAGTACACACTGTGGTGGTAGGTTCATGTTTGATGGGACCCTAGTACACACTGTGGTGGTAGGTTCATGTTTGATGGGACCCTAGTACACACTGTGGTGGTAGGTTCATGTTTGATGGGACCCTAGTACACACTGTGGTGGTAGGTTCATGTTTGATGGGACCCTAGTACACACTGTGGTGGTAGGTTCATGTTTGATGGGACCCTAGTACACACTGTGGTGGTAGGTTCATGTTTGATGGGACCCTAGTACACACTGTGGTGGTAGGTTCATGTTTGATGGGACCCTAGTACACACTGTGGTGGTAGGTTCATGTTTGATGGGACCCTAGTACACATTGTGGTGGTAGGTTCATGTTTGATGGGACCCTAGTACACACTGTGGTGGTAGGTTCATGTTTGATGGGACCCTAGTACACACTGTGGTGGTCGGTTCATGTTTGATGGGACCCTAGTACACACTGTGGTGGTAGGTTCATGTTTGATGGGACCCTAGTACACACTGTGGTGGTAGGTTCATGTTTGATGGGACCCTAGTACACACTGTGGTGGTAGGTTCATGTTTGATGGGACCCTAGTACACACTGTGGTGGTAGGTTCATGTTTGATGGGACCCTAGTACACACTGTGGTGGTAGGTTCATGTTTGATGGGACCCTAGTACACACTGTGGTGGTAGGTTCATGTTTGATGGGACCCTAGTACACACTGTGGTGGTAGGTTCATGTTTGATGGGACCCTAGTACACACTGTGGTGGTAGGTTCATGTTTGATGGGACCCTAGTACACACTGTG